GCATTGTAAGTAATGTATTCTTGAAACCTTGGAGGAGGATGTCTGTCCCGAGTTGGGTTTTTTCGAGGAGCTACATACGGTTGTGGGGTAGGGGTTGAGCTTTGTTCACTTGTAGGTGTTCCCTTACCCTCAAGTTGTTCCGACTCCAAGTGATGTTCGAGAGAATCATTCTGAGAATGGGATTCAAGAAGATGTACTGGAGTATGTAATGGAAAGATCTCCATAATATCATTTCTCTAAGGCTCTTCACTGCAGTCTTTACGAAAGAAAAAAGCAAGCTCATCAAATCGGACATCTCTGGAGACTCAAACCTTACCATTCTGAGGATTAAAGTATTTATATCCCTTTTGAAAGCTTGAGTATCCCATAAAAACACATTTGACAGCTCTAGGTTCGAGCTTATCTCGATGTGCTGCTTGAATATGAACATAGCAAGTGCACCCGAAAATTCTGAGATGTGAGATGTCAATGTTTCTTCCCTTCATTACTTCAACAGGAGACTTTGAATTTAAAACTCGAGTAGGTAACCTATTGATGATGTACGCTGCAGTGAGAAGTGCTTGTGACCAGAACCTTTTAGGCATATTCATTTGAAACATAAGAGACCTTGTTTTCTCCAAAAAATCACGGTTCTTTCTTTCCGCTATACCATTTTGTTGTGAAGTACCAACACAACTGGTTTGATGCAAAATTCCATGACCACTTAAGTAATTAGACATGTTATTGGATGTGTACTCAATGCCATTGTCTGATTGCAGTATGCTTAACTTAGATAAACATTGATTTATGATGAGTTTATGAAAATCTTTAAAGGCATAAAAAAACTCACTTTTGGATTTCAAGAGGTAGACCCATGTAACCCGAGAGTAATCATCAATGAAGGTGACATAATATTTATATCCATCAAAAGAGCTTACACGAAAGGGACCCCAGATATCTGAGTGAACGATTTCAAACAGTTTACAGGTTCTAGACTTAGAGGAAACAAAAGGAAGCCTAGTAGTTTTCGACATTTGATAGATTTCACAAGCATGCGTAGGTTTACAAAAATTGGGAAAAAGTTTGGTCATCACAGGTTCTGAGGGATGAGCCAATCAAAGATGCCAAATGTGGTATTCTTGAGAGAGAATGAGGCTTGCAAGGGGGTGCTTATGAGACTTGGAAATCTTTGAGAGGTAATAGAGTCCATTCAGGAGATACATTTCACCAATCTTCTTCCGAATGACCCGATCCTGAAATACAACATTGTGAGGAGAGAATATGGCAAGGCAATCTAGGGTGCGAGTGATTTTACTTATGGACAGAAGTTGGAAATGGAAAGAAGGTACTTATAAAGCTATTGACTCAATTTTATTACTTAACAATTTAAGTTTCCCTTTTCCCTAAATAGGTTCTCCGTTCCTATTTGCAACAGACACCTGTGTAGACTTAGGCATATTTTGAAACTTATCCAAGCAAGAAGACTGATTTGTTATGTGGTCAGTAGCACATGAGTCTATAATCCAACAATCATGACTAATTTCATTAAGTGCAGTTTTGAGAGCAATGATGATACCTGAGACATTGTCATGTGTTGAGGTCTCAGCAAAAAAACTTGCAAATTTTCCGAGCATAGCAGTAGGAGTTGAAGTGGTCACTTCCTCGATTTAAGTGTTGCCTCCTCGTCTTTGAAGAAAGTTTGCAAATTGATTTATCAGATCTATTGGATTCTCAGAGAAATTTGAGATTCCACCCGTCGAAGAACTGGATGAGTGGAGGGCCTTAGGGTTGATTCATTTCCCTTCTTTGATCATTCTTCCTCCCTTATCAAATTTTGGTTTTAACTCCGGGTGCAAGATCCAGCATTTGTCCCTTAGATGACCTTTCATGTTGCAGTAAGTGCATTTCCAGTTTGCTTTTCTTACTGGCAAAATTTTTTTCACCAGTGTTTTTATGATAGCTAGAAAAAACCCTAGCATCAGGATTTGATTTCTGCTCAATGTGCATAACTTTTCTTCGAGTTTCTTCCCTTTAAACAGCTTGACAGACACCATTAAATGAGGGCAGCTTATGAGTCATCAACAAGTGGCTTCGAAGGTCTTCATATTCAGCTCCTAGACTTGCTAGAAGTTGAAATACTTTATCCTCATCAGCTCTTTTAAGGAGCACATCGAAATCGGTTGAGTGTGGACGATACATGTCAAGTTCATTCTACTTGGACTTGATGCTTCTGAGATGTTGCACAAATGATTGATCACCTTGCCTTAGCCCAGCAAGATCCTTTTTGAGCTGAAAAATATGAGCTGCGTTATTTTGACCGCCATACATTTCTTTAACGGATTCCCATAGAGTGGAAAAGGACTCCGAGTAACTGAAGAGTTCAGATAACTTTGGTTCCATGGAGTTGAATACCCAGGACAAACCAACTGGTCGTTTGCATGCCATGCACCATATGACATGGATGATTTTTCAGGCGGTCCGATGCGTCCATTGATATACCCGAGCTTCGATCTTCCTCCTAGGGCAAGTGAAATGGCACAAGACCAAGGTAGATAGTTGAACTCGTTTAATAACACTGAGCAAAGACACAAATTTGTATTGATTTCACCTTGAATGACGCTGGGAGATAAGGAGTTTGAGGAGCTCGTAGCCTCACGATTTGAGGAACTTTCTTTTGTCATTGTAGTGAATAAGGCATGATTGAAACAAGGTTTTTGAATTAATGAACAAACAGAGACAAGACCATATGGTTCCTGCTCTGATACCATGTGGAAATTTGGAACCCAAAAAGGTTTTTGTATATTTTCATATGTTTTATAACTACAAGAGAGGGCTCTATATAGAGACCAAAAAAGAACGAGAAGAAGCCATACTCCTTTTCACACTTATAATCGGAAATCAAGGAACAATTTACAAGAAAGATAAAGGGCAAAGATACTAAAAGACACAAACCCTATAATTAAGGGATATGGACCAAGGAATGATTTGGTAGCAAAGAGAGGCAAAATGACAGTAGTGGTAGTAGCAACTCTACCCGAAAAGATGGGATAGAGTTGCAGCTGCAACTTGACATCATAGAGCATGTGTGTCTAGTTTCAATACCTAATTACAACATTAAACTCAAACATAGAGATGGACCTCCGAACCAAACCAAAACAAAATTTGGAGCTCAAATTTGAAAACCAAGAAACCCTAATAGCATCCCATGCAAGCCACCAACAAGCATCATCCTAAAGCGACCAAAGAAAGGGTCAAACGTGACCCACAGACTCACAAACTCGTCACCGCAAATGTGAGACCGGAGAAGGCCACCAACAGCAAACAAGGAGAAGAAAATAGCAAAAGCATTAGGGTTAAAAGTTGAAACCGAAAAGATCCTAATACCCAATAAATAGAAGCATCCCATCGCTTGTCTCGTGCCATCCACCTCCGGGAGTCCGAAGTAGTGTCTGAGCCAAGGTATATGTTTGTCTAATGCTTACATATATAACATAACATAGTACGTTGAATCATAGGCTAAATGATATCTCTATGTTAAACTGTAATTTGCAGGTGTGAAATTTATGAAAAGAAACACGATTAACATCCAATGCCTCTCGTGGATTGACTCCGACCCTACTGATTTGTATGAACAATCAGTTTACACAGCCAAGCATATACAAATACTAGTATAAAAAATGAAAAATGCTAGGAATACTCTATTTTTATATCATATTAGTATATTATCTGATGTGATAAGTGATGGGTACATACCACATCTATTTATGTGTTTATATAAGTGAAATAATTGTTGTATATGAATTACTTGCTACTTTATGTGGTACATCAACATGGTACAAATATGTAGTCATCCTAGCATTACTTTACAAAAATAGACAAACATGTACCAATATTAGCTTTACAAGTTAACCTACATAAAGATCCCATAACATGATTGGTTTCGTGTGGATAGATTTATCAATCAGCCGAAACACTAGATGGTATGCGACATGCTATTATATAAATGGAGAAACCCTTTGAAAAAGAAATACTTCATCCAATTATAAATTGCATGTAGTGTACCGTACATCAACAAAATTTTATTGTGCAACCAAATGAGAACATGATTGGATTAAAAAGATGAATCTTTGGGGGATGGGCCAACCAGATATGCATTTCTTAACCAGTTATTTTGTTCCACGTCGACGTTTATGAGCTCAATAACATTCCACCAACTCCTCCAATCGATCGATCGATACGTAGAGACATTTTTAATTGTGATTGGAACACGAGTCGTGCAATATATATTTTTATATGAGTGATGAAAATTTTTAATACTTAAATTATTAATATTTTAAAACATATATTTTACTATTTATATAATAATATGTGATGTACTATCTCATATTTCGTTCACACTGAAACATCTTTCTGATACGTGATCGAGAACGAAGGCAAAGCAGTTCAACCCCAACTTTGACCATTCCTCATCCCTTACTGTCACTTCGCATGTCATCATCCGTCACTTTCTAGTTAAAATATATGGATTTGGATCCTCTCCCGAGCAGGAGATCAGGATCCTCGAGATCAAACAACATGGGTCCTTGAATTTTAATCCAACGGCTATAATTATTATAATTTTAGAGGAACCTCCTGTTTGTAACCGTTAGATCAAAATCCAACGGTCCATGTTGTTTGATCCCGAGAATCCTGATCTCCTGCTCAGGAGAGGATCCAAATCCAAAATATATATCCATCTCCCATTTATTTTTCTTTGTCTTTCTGTATATTTTACGTTTGGATTAATTCAGTTTACTATTCTGAAATTTTTTCGTTTTCAATATTGGATACAAGTAATTTTTTTCGTCTCAGAATAATACCTAAAATCATAATTTTAAGACACTTTCATACCTTTATTAAGTTTTCCGTCAAAACCTTCGTTAACTGCTGATGCCATTCAATTAAAGAGTGATTGGACGCCGCGCATCAATATGAACCTATGTGGTATTAAAAAAATTTAAAAAAATAAAAAATAAAAAAACTGTTCTCTTCTCTTCCCCGATCCCTCTCACCCATCCCTCTTCACCCCCTCCCTTCTCTATTCCCAAATCAACCTTCACCCACCCCAACCCAAACTACGCCACCCTCGTCGCCTTCCTCACCAACTCACTGGAACCGAGCCCTCAACCTTTCCCTTTTCTCTTCCCTCAACGACTCTGCTCATTTTCGGACTAGCGACAGAGATATGCGATCACTCGAACGTGCAATTTCACATCCCTAACCCTAATTTCTGATTCCCCTTCTCGATCTCTCCGATTCGATTCGAATCGAGAGTAGCTGAAACGATGCCGCAGCAATGGGCGATTTCAACCTCGCGCTTGTCATCGTCGCCATTGTTCTCTGCATCATCGTCTTCGTCTTCAATGTCTACCTGCTCGTCAATTACCAGCACCCCGACAGCCAGGTTGGACCTACAACTGGACTTCCCCTCACAATCCGCCTGTGTCCCACACTCGGGCTCCTTTGGCGATGCCCATTGTAACTCCACTCCCGGTTCGGGCAACCAATCAACGGGCAAACCCGAATCCAAGTTCACAAAACTCGTGTACGCGCTGCAACCCGAGTCTCTGACCCGGATCATGTACGACGTCGACGACCCGCCCGCCCGAAACGTGCATCAGAGCAAATCCTTGCAAGAGCCCACCGATCCGGTGCCATTGATGTACGTGTGGCAGAGGCTCGACGCCGTGCTCGTGTTTTTCATCATCCCCTTCGCTATGTTCTATTACGAAGGAGACCAGGACAAGTAGGTACTTCTAGGGTTTTTGACCAATACTCATGACGCCGTGCATGTCAGATTTTTGTGTATTCAGCTTGCCATTGTTGATTTGTGAATTGGGTTTGTGTTTTTGTGTTCAGGAGTGTTGGAAAACTGGAGGATATCAATGATTTTGGTGGATTCTCCGAAACGCAGAGCCGATTTGACGGTTATGGAGGGGGTGAAAAGGGATGAGTGGGAGAGATCGGGGAAGAGAAGAGAACAGTTTATTTATTTTTAATTTTTTAATTTTTTAATACCACATGGGCTCATATTGACACGTGACACCCAATCATTGTCCACGAGGGTGCCACATCATCAGTTAACGGAGATTCTGACAGAAAACTTAATGGATGTATGAAAGTATCTCAAAATTATGACTTTAGGTACCATTAGACCAAACTCAACCCTGGGTTAAATACTATTTTTTAGGTTTTATTCCCCTCCAAACCCAAACCAACATAACCCATGCTAAATGTGTGAGCTAAAAGCTAAAAGTCAAACAAAAGCCAAATTTCGCTCAGGATTTAGCCCAAAAAATGGTGTGGGCACCACCAATGAGACCCTAACCACATGGGCATGTCCATAGGATTGATTGAATCCAATGGTTGAGATCGAATATAATCAAATCTAATGGTAAAAAAAAGGATATGACGGCCCAAATTTAAATTCAACAACTAAACTAATTTAAAAAATTATTTAACTCAAAAATCACCAAAATTTAGTGATTTTTCAATATTTATCAGAATTTGAATATTTTTCGGTTAAGATATTCATAAAATTAAATTATGATAGTGTACATAATTTTTTTTTTCAAATTACTTTAAAAGAAAAAATTAGCCTAAATTTATATTTTAATAATCTCAGGCAAAAAAGATTTAGGTCATAAGGGTTGGAGCAGAAAAATTGTTTCTGAGCTAAAAATTTTAGGTTTTAGCTCAAGGGTTGAAGATGGTTTTATGGGACGAAAAAAACTTCATGAACCAAATATTGAAAATAAAAAAACTTCAAAGCAGTAAACTTAGATTAACCCTTTATGTTTTGTATGAATAATCATTAAACAATTTCTGTTTTCACACATAATGGATCCAACATTTTATTTTTGATCGTTACACATAAGTAGAAAGAAACAGATAAAAATTAATTTATGCAGGTCCGCACTCATATTAGTTAAAATCAGTGTAGGATTATATAAGACCAAAATATTGAAAGCTGCGTGTACTTTTTATAGCTTTCCTACAAAAAATGTATATTCTATCAAGTTCCGATGTAAGTTTTTTTATCGTCAAATCTTATTCATTGCGTTCCTAACGAATGATATAACCGTTGAACATTCAAATGTAAAACACACCATAGCATGCCAAAAATCCCCATAAATAACGTAGCCCGAGCGATCCAACACAAGTATCTCTAGTAAAACTGGAAGAAACCAGAAAGAAGCTTCTATCACACCAGCATTCCAAGTTCCATTTCAAACCCACACCTAGAAAAAAAAAAGTAAAAATTATAAAAGGAATTCACCACGCAAATGCGATTCAATAATTTCGTTGACAAAAAGTCTTCCAAATGCATATCCACCAAGCTGGACAAACATTCAATCCGCGGCCTACACCAAGTCTTCGCCGGCTTCTACGTTTCTTGTTAATATCTATCTCCATCTCTACTCTTTACATTCTCAAACTCATTCTCCAAAAACCCCACAACCACCAAAAAAAGCTATAACAAAAACAAAACCCTAAAGGTAATCATGAAGAGGTTTCAGTTTCCACTCCACCTTTTTGCCATTGCTCTCTGCCTCTCATCGCTTTCACAGACCTCAGCTCGCTTCTTCCCCAACATCTCCTCCATACCGTCCTACCTCGTCCCAAACGCCACCATTCCTGGCGCTTGGGACGCCTTCAAACACTTCGGCAACTGCCACGCCGGCGAAAAAGTCGACGGCCTCAGCAAGCTCAAAAAATACTTCAACCGTTTCGGTTACATTCCAAATTTACCTACAACCAACCTCACCGATGACTTCGACGGAGACCTTGAAGCCGCCCTCAAAACCTACCAAAAGAACTTCAACCTCAATGTCACCGGCGAGCTCGACGGGCCCACCCTCGAACACCTCGTCAAACCCCGATGCGGCAACGCCGACATAGTCAACGGCACCACCACTATGAACTCCGGAAAACCGGCGTCGTATAACTCCACCAAGTTCCACAGCGTCTCTCACTACTCTTTCTTCCCCGGCACCCCCGTCTGGCCGCAGAACCGCCGCGACCTGACCTATGCTTTCTTGCCGGAGAACGAGCTCTCCGACGAGGTAAAAACCGTGTTCGTCGGCGCCTTCCAGCGGTGGTCGGCGGCGACACCATTAACTTTCCAAGAAACTACCTCCTTCTACTCGGCGGACATCAAGATCGGATTCTTCGTCGGAGACCACGGCGACGGCGAGCCATTCGACGGGGTTTTGGGGACTCTTGCACACGCGTTCTCCCCGCCGAGCGGTAGGTTCCACCTGGACGGCGATGAGAACTGGGTGATCACCGGTGACATCAGCAAGTTCTCCGTGGAGTCAGCCGTGGACCTTGAGTCCGTGGCGGTGCACGAGATAGGGCATCTGCTGGGGTTGGGGCACTCGTCGGTGGAGGATGCGATTATGTACCCGACGATCTCGTCGCGTACGAAGAAGGTGGAGCTTGCCAGTGACGACGTTTTGGGGATCCAGACGCTATACGGCGCCAATCCCAATTACGACGGTACGACTACATCCGCGCCGTCCACTCAGGCGAGGGACACGTCTGCTGCTGGGGACCACCTCGGTTCTACTCCTACTCCGCGGTTGTGGGCCCTCCGTGTCGTGTTAGCAGTTGGATCTCTGTTACTATTGTTTTAGTTTTTTTTTTAAATTTAATTCTGGTTTATTGACTAGGATTCGATTTACCCATTATTTTATTACATTTTTTGGTTTCTTATTGTGGATTTGGCACTGTAGGGATGGGCTGGGTATGGGCAACCGCGGTTACCCGTCCATTTAAAATTGACGGTTATGGTTATGGGTAACTATTTAGACAAATAAACGGTTATGGGTATAACCGTTTATCTATGAAATTTAAATAGACGGTTATGAGTATTATCTGCGGTTATAACGGGTATTTATCGGTTATGGGTAATATTCGCGGTTATAACGGGTATTCATTTACCCATTTAATTTAATATATGTAAAATTAAAAAAAAAATTAAAAACCCTCAAAGAACTTACAACTTGTAAGTTACTATTATTTGTTGCTTCCCTTAGCAGCAGTCTTCTCCGCTATTGCCAAGTTGATTCTCTCTTTTGACCCTATTGCCGAGGTCAGAGAGGTACGTTTCTTTTTCTTATTCTTCTTTGTACATTTATATATATATATATATATAGACACTCACATTGAATTGTCATCGTTTTTGCGTTTTGGGTTTTTATGTTCTTCCATGCATTGTCGTTTCAGGTCGGGATCTTTGTTTGTTTCTTAATCTTTTACTTTTTGATCCTGATTTCTCGGTTATGGGTGTAGTAGAAAAATATCGTTCGTAAACTATTATTTCAATTATTGGAATTATATGAGGATTTAAATGATTAAAATAGGGAAATGTATGCTAAAATGTACTTATAACAGTATTTAATTGTCAGAAAATGAAAATTATGACAAATTTTTCTTTTATAATTTTCAAATTGTTAAAAAAAATAATGTAGACGGGCGAAAAAAGGGTTAATGGGTAAAAAAAAGGATAAACGGGTGAAAAAACGGGTAAACAGGTAAATGATTATGGTTATGGTTAAATGGGTAAATGGGTAAATGGTTATGGTTAAATGGGTACATGGTTATGGGTATGGATAACCGTTTATAAACGGTTATGCTTATGGGTATAACCATTTATGTAATTACTCTACAGGTAAACGGTTATGCAGGTATGAACATAAACGGTTATGAGTAAATAACCGCGGTTACCCGCCTGTCATAACCGTTGCCCATCCCAACTCATATACAGTTGAATACAGTTAGGACGAACATATATTTTCAGCACTATATATTTACAATTGAATATACAGTTTTTTTTATATTTATATATATAAATCATTTATATTTTTTTGTACGATGAGTGTTTAGGCATTCGGATGAATTAAAATAAATCCATCATTAATTATAAGAATGTTACGTATGAGATGTGACCATAAGCTTTGATTTCTTTGACTCTATTATTTTGCCTTGTGAATTTCTTTTCTATATAGGTCTGGTAGGACTTTGGCGAAGTAGGATTATTCTCTCTTTTATTCTCCTTTTCTCCTCTCACGCTAACCATTTTGTCTTCTGTTCTCTAAAAAAATTGATATAAAATACTAACGTAATTTAATCTTGTTCAGAAAAAATAAGTGGAATCCGTACAAATAACACTGAAATGATAATGATTCTGTTTTGGGCCTGGACAATGCGGGCAAGACAACGCAACACTGGGCCTTTATCTTTGGTGCTACCTGGCTTCTTCCTCTCGGTTGTAGTCCCCTTACTCTATCTTATTAACCACAAAATTGACGTCCTCTTCCTCTATTCCTTTTAAAAGGGGATCTAGGAATTGAAACTTTAAGCACCGGTTTCCAAATGCTCATCTGGGTTAAAAAGCTAAAAGGGTGTCTGAATTTGTTCCATTGCCTTGTGATTAGACGAAGATCAAAACTAAAACCTAAAGGGATGCTTGAACTTGATCGAAAAGACAAGGTGGGTTTCTTCACAATATCTTGTGAAGGAGAGGGATATGATGAAGAATTAGGGCTTTTTTTAGTATCACATTCTTCATACCATATATGTACCACCTCTCTAATAGAGACGGAATTTACATGCGTTGGTGGACTTTATCTCTATTAGAGAGTAGTACAAATGTGGTATTAAAAATGTTATAAGTGTAGTATTACTCTTTTACAAAAATAGAAGACTTGACAAAGTTAAACTCATGGTAACTCAGAAGAAGCATTTCACAAGGAGAATGTAGGTAGAGGTTCGGTAGAGGCATGTTTTCTACCGCATATCTAAACTCAGATTATTCAACCTTTTTAGTTTTAGATGAGTAAACAACGAGCTAGATGAGTGCATAGATCAGTTGTACATGTGAAAATGTGTGAACTTTTGTAGTCATCTTTTCGTGTTTATTTGGTAAAACATAATTTGAGAGGATCGTAAGGATCAGCTAAAAAATCTTAACTAATTATTAGGCCCAGCCAATTGACATGATCGGACAGCTCTTTGCCAACCTAAAAGTTTGCAATCCATTGGGGAAAAAAAGGTCGAGGGAACCAATGATTTAAGTCCAAATACTCAACTTGCATTCTACACAAAAGAAGGTGGAAGAATCTGGCTTTCTCTTAAAAATATATGCGTACATATATGGGAAGCCTTGTGTCACAAAAGAAGGCACTTGCACATCCTCGATCGTCAAATAAGCATACCGAAAATATAGTAAAATTTCAGCAATAGGCCTGTAAAAAAGGGCCGATCGAGGCCACTTGTTATAAGCTTCTTCTTTATTAGGTCCTGAGAAAATTTTAATTGTGATAGGAATACAAGTAGTATATCATGTGTTTTAATATAATTGGTGAGAAATTTTATTTTTTAAATTATTAACCTTTTAGGATAATTATTTCACCATTTGTATAATGATATATGATGTACCACGTACCGGTCACATTGAAAAATATCTTCTGTAAAAAAGGCCGATCGAGGCCACTTGTTATAAGCTTGTCTTCTTTTGTAGTCTTCCCCTCTATAAAAAGTAAACTCCATAAAATTCCAACAACTCATTTAGCTCTAGGCTTCTAGCTGCATTTTCGCTATTCCTGTTAAATAATATGGGACTCGTTCCATGTCCCTTGCCCTGTCACACAAGCACAGAAAGTAAGGAAGAATCTTCAACCTCCAACTCCACCTCCAGTCTTCTCTCTGAGTCTTCAACCTTCTCCTCTCTGTCCTCCCAGCCAAGTCTCCCTTCTGTTCCTTCTCTCACCCCATCAAAATCCAACCAATTAGTAGTACTACGATCCTCAAGTGTTCATCACTGCTGCATAGCCACTCTCCAATCCCAGTCCTACATCTGTACCCTAGCCCTATCTGGAAACTTCCTATACAGTGGCTCATCCGACGGTCAGATTACAGCATGGAGTAGTACCCTATCACGCCCTTCAAATCCAAAATACAACAAGGTGGTAGCCACCGTCGCCACTCCCAGCACCGTCAAGTTTCTGGTGGTTGTTGGGAGTGGGGACGACCGCAACAAGCTCTTATTCGGTGCTCACCAAGACCATAAAATCCGAGTCTGGAAAACTAACACGAACGACACGTATGAAAAACTAAAATGTATAGCCACACTCCCAACTCTAAAAGAACGTGTCACAAGATTCTTATGTTCCAAGAACTACGTGCAAATCGGGCTCCACAAGAACGGCACCTGGGAGCATCACATCGACGCCGTCTCCGCTCTAGCGATATCCAACGACGGGTCGTTTCTCTACTCCGTTTCATGGGACCGGGCGCTCAAAATATGGCGGACTTCCGACTTTAAATGCATGGACTCGGTTAGTAACGCCCACGACGACGCCATCAACGCCGTAATTTTGTCAAGTGACGGAGCTTTTGTGTACACCGGCTCGGCGGATAAGAAGATAAAGGTGTGGACGTGGAGGAAAGACAAGTCAACATCAGTAAAGCTTGTTGGAACCCTAGAGAAGCACAAGTCGGCTGTGAATGCGTTGGCTTTTAGCACCGACGGGTCCGTGCTGTACTCTGGTGCCTGCGACCGGTCGGTTTTGGTTTGGGAAAGAGATGGTGGTGCGGACGGCGGCGGTGGGGACATGGTGGTGGTCGGTGCGTTGAGGGGACACACACAGGCGGTGTTGTGTTTGGCGGTGGCGGCTGATTTGTTGTGCAGTGGATCTGCTGATTATAGTGTTAGGGTTTGGAGGAGATTATCGTCAGGGCTAGTTGGCGGTGATCTAAATAGGAGTTATTGCTGTCTGGCTGTGTTGGAAGGTCACAAGCGGCCGGTGAAGTGTTTGACTGCAGCTCTTGATAATAGTGATTCTGGTGATTCTTATTTTGTTTATAGTGGCAGCTTGGATTGTGATATTAAGGTCTGGCAAATTCGGGTTCCCCTTTCATAATTTGGTTGGACTTTACATACAATATTGGTAATGTTAGGAATATAATCTATTTAAATTATATTTTATAAATTATATGACTTGATGATTATATAATTATTTAAATATTTTCATATAACATATTCGAGTGAAAAAACATGTCATGTACATTTCTAAAACCGTACAAACTGAGAAAATAAAATAAGTATTATAAAGTTTGTGTATGCCATTAACATATCCAGAATATTGTTGTTTCAGTCATAGACTCATAGTTACTAATCACATTATTGATCACTTTTCTAAACAAGTGAAGTACTTGAAATTAGGTTGAAATTCTTTGAACCTAATTTTTAATAAGTTTTTAAGTATTCCTTTTCTTTGTTACATGTGAAGATTCTAGAGATGGAATTTTGGGCGACAAGGTGATAATCCCATTTAATCAATTGATAATATTCCTTTTTATGATGTTTATTACTTTATTGGATTTTAAATTCTTCAATATTTGATAAAAGTAAAATCACCACTTTCAAGTTTCAACCTAACCTTCGGTTCAACCTAGCTAACGTAAGTGTGTGAATATGATCTTTCATATTTGAAATATATTTTGCAAGAATGGTGCTATTTATATACCTATTTTTACTTTTCATATACACATCTTGTTAATTTTTGTCATTTAATATTCTTCATTTCATTTGATCTGACAACCGAAATTTGAGTGCGGAAGATAAAAGAAGTGTGGAGATAGCACCATACTTTTTCAAATGAAGAAGTCAACATACAGTTTGATTAATTGTTTGAAAATAATATTTGATT